GCGGGGAACCGCGGGGATCCGCGGGGAACCGCGGGGATCCGCGGGGAACCGCAGGGATCCGCGGGAACCGGATTCTACCTCTTGTTTTTGCTCGTATGTAGGCTAAGCAAAAGGGTGTTTTGGAACTCCCCGCGGTTCCTCGCAGATCGCCGCGGTTCCCCGCGGATCTTCCCCCTCCCGCACCATCCCGCGCACCACCCCGCGCGCCACACCGCGCACCACAAAATTGCCGAGAACAACCCGCGCACCGCCCCGGGCACCATTCCGCGCACCACCCCACGCACCACCCAGACCTTACCAAACCTAATGAAACCAAGATTTTGACATAGGGGTAGTTAAGCGCACTCCGCCGTGGCCAAGGCCTATGTGCCTATGTAGTTACATGAGCTAGGAAATGTGTTGTTACATGAGCTAGGATCGCAAATCCAGTCGTTCAACCTCTCAGCACAAGAGGGTTCCAACCTGAAACACCCAGTTTTCCACATGCGAAAGCGCCACCTGCTGCGCTTCGGGGACGGCGTTCACCACGGCATTGAAGAAAGGCCACTTCTCCTGCCAGTCAAAGGATTTTGAGTGGTTCTGGTGGAACTGTCGCTGTGGGTCAGACCCCGTCAGACCCCACTTTGTCTTTTCCAGTGACTTGCAAGTTCGGACGATTTGAAATGTGCCCCATGGAGCATCTATCTGGATCACTCCAACCAAAAATGTTAATGTCGTTCAATTTTTACATCATGGCATCAATGGTATGGTGAGTGTGCTTTCCTTCTTGTGGGAAATTTGACTAGTGGAAATGGAAATATGTACCATTGTGTGACCATTGGTATGGTCTGACCCACAGGGCCGCCCCCAACCAATATCCATCACTCCGACAGTGTACGGCCCACAAATCTGGCAGGTTTGTCCACAGCTATCGCAATGCCCAGTCCTGTGTAAGCACGCCTACTGTGACGATACCTGTCCGCAGCGGCAAGGGGTCGTGCGGTCCCAAAATTGATGATATCTCAAATCTCAAGTGTCCTTTTGCTTGCCTGCTAAGGTGTTTCTACCTCTGGTGTATGGATAGACCCACACCCAGTGCCTCCTGCAGTGCCAGCTGCAAAAATACCAGAAGTAGCTGCATCCGACGTGCAAAGCTACAAAGACATGTGCAACAACATGGAACCATTTGGAAACTAATTTAAACACAATTACTCGATGATATTTGATGTGAGTGTTCCGTCAAATTCACAAGTATCGGCACTGCAGTGCCATTGAGGCGCAAAGAAGTCCTTGTGGAAAAGATACAGGCCAACAAAACACATTAAAAAGAAAAACGGTCTCAAGACTGGGTCTTTCGGGTTTTCCCTCGTGGAATCGCCCACGGCGAAGCGAAGTGGTACGTCCTCAAGCTCACACCGCGGCTCACACCGACGCACCGGAGGACTGTCACACCGCGGCGGTGTTGGCTCCGCCGATCGGCTGAATCACCTGGATTCACCGAGAAGGCGCCTGAGAAGGCCAGCATGGCCAAGCGGCCGTTGCGCAGCTCCTTCACCTGGGAGGGGAACGAGTGACCGGCACCGTCAAAGACCACGGCGGTGACCGGCCGAACTTGTTCCGCGCGGTGACCAGTGGAAGCCGGTAGGAGTCTGAAGGAATCTTCGAAGTGTCGACCAAAACTGGTGCAAAAGGGCACCCTGGCGCAAAAGAGAGGGCAAACTGAGCAAAGTCCCGAAACAGTCTTTCTACTTGTTTCCTCCATCGACTCTAACGAACGCAGCGCCTGCATGTCGTACTGGCCCTTGGCATCCGCAGGGTAGAAGCCCCGCAGCCCGAAGTCGCCCGGTTTTCGGTCCTTAACCAGGTGACAGCCGAGATGACCGAGACGACCGAGACAAACCGGAAGCGACCCCGACCGAGAGACGACAGGCTTCAGCGCCGGGGCTGCGGTGAGTTTGGCCGATCTTCAAAGGACAGGCCATTGAGTGACCCCATGGCCAACATCTTCTCAACCACCTACATGGATCACTACCCAAGGTGAGGTTCGATTTGATAGGTCACACCTTCTGTTGGGCAAACGGGAAGTTTGAACATTGGACGGAGATTCCATGTCCATCCCTCCTCCCACCCAGCTTTCGACTTTCGTCCATTCCTCCAAGCAGCAGTCTTACCCTCCTGCATGTTGATGATGGCCAGGAAGCCAAAGAGCTCCAAGTAGCCCAGCCACACCAGGATCCTCAGACAGACGTGAAACGTGTCGCTATCGGCGTGGCTCCACGAATCTGTTCTTTCATGCAATATCTGGGGATCTTACACCTGGAGTTCATGTGGAGGAGCATGTTACAACCTCTTTGCATGGTTCCCTTGAGAGTCCTTACTTTGTTTTCGTCCAAAAAAAAAGAAGGCATCAATTCGATGAGCTCGGACCGTTGAAGCCGAACACACGCGACGCGTGTAAACAAGGCGACCGACCAACGCCGAGCGGCTGGGGCATGGAGCCGAACTTCACCATGGCATCGTGGGCCTTACGCGTCAGAGGTTTGCCCGTTTGGAGATGGAAAGAGATCTGCCCGCCTTTTTTCGGACACAGGACTTCGATCAATTTAAGGTCTTTGGAACTAAGAGACCAGGTGGGAACTGAGTTCTTTGGATGGGTAAAGGTTGTGGAAAGGTTCAAGTTGTGGCAAACACTCCTCTGACTGAAAGCGTCAGAGAAACGGCGAAGTAGCTAAGCTAGTTCCGAAACAAATCGGCATGGGCGCCACTCAAGCAGCAAAGGCCAAGAAAGCAAAAGACATCACCCTTGGACAAGAGATGCCTCACCAACAAGCGATGCCCTTGTTCCTAGTAGCGATGCCCTTGTTACTAGTAGCTTCTTGCTACTAGTAGTAAATGCCCTTTGTTACTAGTAGCAATGCCCTTGGTTTTCGCTCTCCGCCTCCACCGCTCCAGCACCCCACCTCGATGGTGGAGACTTGGAAGGGCTCACCCGGCACACGTAGGCCTCGCTGGGTCGAGCATCGACTGCTAGGTGGCTACCTGCCTCCCTTGGAGGTCCAGGAACGCTAAACCGGAATCACCATGGGGATATATATATATATATATGATGCAAATGTCGTAGCGCTATGCGTCGTAATATTCCAGGGTGGTGTATTCTATGATTCAATTGGGAGTCATTCTGTTCCATATTTTTACATGTTGTCTTGGACGCGTTCTTGTGAACCCCTTGCTTTGGGTGAATTTCACAGTCTTCCATCTTTCCAGTGCACTAGCCCCAAGTTCGGGAACTGCCAATTGACCTCCCTCAAAGGAAGCATCTTCCTTCTGACATGAAACACGGTTTCTCCGCATGCAGACGAAGCGGCTACATGACTCAGAGACATTTGGGACAGGACAGGATGCCTTCCTGAAAACCTGTGGCTAAAAATTCACAGAAGGAAAGCAAGTTGGTTTCTTCGCACACCAATAGTACCTGTGGCTTTGTGGCACTGTATCTAGAACTTGTCGCTTGTAACCATCTAGTGGATCAGCATGCTGATTTGGACCAAAACGACTAGGTCACTCTGCTGTGAATTCCACTGAAGAGGTCTGGTCAAAACAAAGGCGGTTTCCCCTTTTCCGGTTGGCTGCTCATGCTTTCCTCCAGTGGATGGCCTGGTGCCATCTGCCCATCCCTGGTAATTACTTTCCTTGTCGCCCAAGCCACCAAGATCGGTGGCGATCCAGCCCACGGTTGCCAGCATCGCCACACGGCCGTGCTTCAGCTCCGCCTCACCATGGCACCCCAACGTCCAACAGAACACGCTCAAAACGCCATGGCTCTGTCGCACGATCTTCACTTTGAAAGTAAGTGAAAGGTCATGCTACTTGTCTACTGCCGCCGCTCGCCGCCGTGTTTTACCGAAGTGTTCTACATCACCCTTGCTCTTTCCTGGCCGCACGTGGTCCCCTCCTCTCTTCGTCTCTAGCCACGTCTCTAGCCACGTCTCTCCTCGCTCCGCCTCGCGGAGCCAACGGATGTCGATGGCCAAGGAGAAGCCCATGGGGTCGAAGCCCTCCTCCTCGCCTGTGGCCGTTGCGTCGAGAGTGGGGTCAGCTGTCAGGTTCATGGACCTTATCCAAGCCAAGAGTAAGGAACTGGAAGGGAAGAAATGCTGAACGAGATGCACCCTAAAACCTAAAACCAACATGAATCTTGACAAGTTCTGCTGGAAACATTCTTGTTTTCAGGATCCATCGGAGATCTGGAAGGAAGAATGCGGAAAAGGCCACCGTTGTCACGTTCTGCAGGCGGCAAAACTGGTCAAATCGTCTTTCTCAAATCCGCACCAGCTCCAAAGTCCCTGACAATTTGAAGGGATGGGTGAATCCAACTGTCTTTTCAAATTTGGAGGCAACAAGCCGTAGGAATCATTGAAATAGTGTGGAATGTTCCTAAAGGTGTTTCAATCCCAAAGAACATTCACCGCGGAGAAACAGGTGTTTGTTGAGAAACACCGACACCTGTGGTGCCTTGAAAAGAAGTCTCTTCCATCACTGGTGGAGAAGCAGAAGCTTCCTACACTAGCCCTGATTGAGTTCGGCTACCTGAAGTCCTGACACTACTTACTTATGCTTACCGTTACTTACCTATGGATTCACCACCCAGTTTATACCAAAATCCTTGCTCTTCAGGCCGTGCACGGCCCTCTTCCACCGACACCCTCGCGAGGTTGTTCACCTCCCTCCAACACCCGAGCACGTTCGCCACACCTGGAAGGCCCTCCAGGGCTGGGGACATCGGCAAAAAGGGCACTGCGGCGCTCATCTTGTAGCCCTTGGATTCCGCTTGCCTGGAATTCAACTTGTGTGGATTGAAGAGCAGAAAAAGGTTGCCTGAAACATCGAAGAGGGGTTCGGATCCGGGGTCCGGTCTTTCTAAACGCCACTCTAAAGGTCATCAAAATCTAACATGTGAGTGATAAAACACACATGTGCTTCTTGAGCAAGGGCGTCTCCATCTTCTGTCAAGTAGATGGATCCAACATGATCTAACTCGTCTTCAGTTGTCAAGCTTACAAATAAAGAGCCAGCAAAGCTGAGAGCCACCAGTTTTGTAGAAACCCATCAAACTGAATGAAAAAGCTGGCCAACTGTTCTACCTTTGGAGGTCATCCCACAGCATCTACCCCCATATACAAGGTCTGTTTCAAATTTGTGAGACACCAGTCTGGGACCTGTCTTCCAAGTACGTCTCTGCTGGATCCAACGCTTCCTTTCCTTGCTCCTCCTCTCGCCCTGCCTGGCCACGCGGCTACCACCAAAGCCAGCACGGGCGGAGCTGCGCTGGGTGGAGGCTCCGAAGGTGGCAGCCTTCTGCTCCTGAAAGCCCGTGGCCATGGCCCTAATGTAATTTAGACTCCTGATTATATAGATTGAAAAACCTCTCCACAAAACCAGTTTCTATTGATCAAGAGTTCAATTTAGGACCCACCGACATGTCGTGGAAAATGGAGCCACAGTGAGCCTCCACTTTTGCGACCATGATTTCTTGCTCTATTTAGACTCTATTTAACCTCATCTAACCTTCCCCAACCGTTGGTTCTTGAAAAATCGGAAAAAATGAAACGACTCGTTCGATCGAACCTTTGTCACTTCAGGATCTTCCCGGCCTTCTGGGCATAGAGCCAAGGAAAGCCGTTTCCAGTCAAGGTGGCCTCACGCCCGGTCGGGTCCCATAGACCGGTTCAGGTCCTTCGGTCCTCAGCGTCATAACCCCTTCCTCCCGAAATGATTCAAAGCTGGTGAAAAAGATGGGTGAAAAAGTGGGTAAGGGATCAAAATAAAAAAATAGAATCAAAAAAAATATTCAACGGGGATCAATAAAAAAATAAAAAGGTAATCAAAAAAATAATGTTCTAGCCCACTGAGGATGGTTGGGGTAGTAGAGGAGAGTGTACCTCCCCAGGAGCTCCCTCCTAGTAGGGAGCTATTTCCACTGGTGAACCATTTTTTCGAGTAGGGCTACTCAATGACTGGACGGCAACCTTATCGTTGGGTACCTACTTTCTTCCCAGGGAGCTGCCTCTAGTAGAAAGCAATCAAGCCTCTATCTGCACAAGCAGGGGACCAGGAGATCGACAGACGAGCGCCGTAGGAGAGCAAAAGACCAGCGGACCAGGAGACAGAAGGACTAGGATACCAGGGGACCAGCGGACCACAGGAGGACCAGGAGACCGGAGGACTAGGGGACCAGTGGACTAAAGGACCAAGGGACCAGGGGACCAAAGGACCAGTGGACCAGAGGACCAAGGGACCAAAGGACCAAGGGACCACATTACCAGAGGACTCGCAGACCACAAGGCCAGGAGAGCAGCAGAAGAGGCCTATCAAGGATTTTTTGTTGATTCGCTTTTTATTTTTGTTGATCTTGTTTTTATTTTTTTTGATACCTATGCCTGAAAAAGGGGACCGAGATGATTACCCCTTCTTTTCTTTCCGAAAGATTGGTGAAAAATAATGATTGAAAGAATCCTTGGGATGACGAGGTGATGTCCGCTGTCCGGCGGACGGTCGGCTGGGCGAATCCCAGGCGGCGCTTCGCAGCTGGAAGCACGTCGCGCGCGGCCTGAGTGATGGCACCGCCGAAGGCCAACATGGCCAGGCGCCCGTTCTTGAGCTCCTTCAACTTCATCTCCTGCGTGTGCGTGGTGAGCTGGCCTCGCGCATGGTGGTGGTATACACTCCCAATGGCACACTTTACATAAACATCACCTGTTCAGGGTTCAAAGGGTGACCATTTCGGAGGCTGAATCCCACTGATTGAACTGCCCCAAACCCTGCCCCGACTCTTTGGGTTCAGCAATATCTGCTCAGAACGGCGGAACCCGCTCCTTCACCTTGGCCGGATCATTTGGGAGGAAGTTGACGCCCAAGCGGTAGTCGCCTTGCCCGTGTTGACCACGGTCCACAAGATCTTCGGTGCCAAAAAACCGGGGTGTCAGGCAAGACTCCAGCAGACCACGACACCTCTCGGCAAGAGGCTTTGCCTTGATTTGTTTGCGACTGTTGATGCTGGCTTAGGGGTGTGGGAGTGCACATGTCCATTTGTTCCCCACCTGTCAGGTGAGGGTTTTTAGTTTTTGAGTGCGGAGCCGCAACTCCGCTCCACCTACTCCGCTCCGCCGGACCTCAACAGCAGGCGCCAGATCGCAGTGAGCACTACCGGACCTCGCCAGCAAGCGCCAGATCGCAGTGGGCAGTCTTGGACCTCAACAACCACAAACACAACCAAAACACACAACACACAACCAACAACGCACAACAACAAACACACAATACACAACCAAAAAACACAACCACAAACACACCGTCCATAACAAACTCGTATGGCGCGCCCAACAACCACCTTCGTTTCACTTGGCAAGCGCCGGGCCCGGCGCCTCGGCGCAATTGGAACACTCACAGCCACAGCACATCTTCCAAAAATATTTTTGCCCTCATGTCTGACCACAACCACAACCACAACACACAACTGCAACCACAACCACCACAACCAAAACCACAACCACAAAACAACACAAAACCAACAAAACACGATCACAAACACACGACCACCGTAAACACAACCGCAAAAAAAACACAAACACAACCAACAACGCAACCACAAACGCACAACCAACAACACACAACAAACACACAACACAAACATGACCGCAAATGCAACCACAAACATCACCACAAACACAACGACAAACAGGACAGACACTCAATACACAACCAACAACACACAACCCACAACCAGTCAAGGAAGAGCCACGGTCAAGAAAGAGCCGGCCATGAAAGATTTGAAGATCAAGAAAGAACCTGGCAATTGTCACTGAACTGAGAAGTCGCTGTGGGGATTGGATTGTGTAAAGTTTTAGCCGGGTTTTCGAGATCACTGGGATGCCACACTACAATTCACACTACACTGTGGCTGGACTGCTTAAAGATCAGACCCACGCGAGAGAAAAGTCAAGGCGTCGGCTTGTTCATGGGCCGTTCACGTTTTTAATTGAAACACTCATGCTCACAAAAAATATTTTTAAAACGCTTTGCTTTGCTTTCATGTCATGACTTGACAACCTCCGGGCCCAGCGCTTCGGTGCCTTTATATAATTGGAAAAGTCGTCATCGCAGTACATTCTCCAATTTTTGTTTTGCCTTCATTTCGTGACATGAGAAGCGCCGGCGCACTCGGTGCAATGCAGTCAGCGCGATGCACTCAGCGTGATGTAACCAGCGCGATGCACTAGGTGCGGTGCACTCGGCGCGATGCGCTCGGTGCGATGCACTTGGTGCGGTGCAATCGGTGCGCACTCTGTGGACTGCGCAAAGCTTTTGGGTGTGTTGCGGCGCGATGTATTTGCTGGGATGCATGTGCTTGGCGCGCCGGATTTCGAGGAACCTTTTGCGGAGATCGTGTGCGTCGCAATCGTGAGGTGAAATTTGAAGTTTGGGTGAGCGCGGTGAACCCTCTGCGGAGATCGTGCGCGTGGGATGCTCAATCGTGAGGTGAAATGCGGATTTGTGGTGATGTTGGTGAACCCTTTGCGCTTTGCGGAGATCGTGCGCGTTGAGTTGCCCAATGTGTGTAACCAATGTGTGTAACTATCTGTCGTCAGAAATTGCGGTGCAAGCTGGAAGTTGCCAAAGTGTGTGTGTGTGGTCATCGAAAACAAAGGTGGACCTCGCCAAAGTGTGTAGCAGTCGTCGAAAACAAAGGTGGAAGTTGCCAAAGTGTGTAACCGGTGCAAGTTTGTAGTATGCGAACAAGCTTTTGGGAGCTGTGGCCTAAGACCTGGCAACTTTGTAGTCAGTACAAGTGCAGTACGGCGTGCCAGATTGGAATTTGAAGGGGAAAGCATCCCGCGGCAGTCTCGCAGAGCATCAAACTGTCTGATTGAATCGTGTGCTTTCGCGTGTGTGGCATTTCGGGTGGGAGGTGATCATAGGGCCGCACTTTGGATAGAATGCCAGCTGCAGACCCTGGCGACACCCCGACGCGAACTCCCCAAAACTAAAACAGCAACCCCAAGCTCGAGGACCCAAAAGCAAAATCGAGAACCACAAAACCCCCCACCATGGCAACATGCTCCTCACCATGGCATGAAAACAACTGATTGAAATGTCATGGTGGGGATCACTCGAAGTAAAGTAATTTGTGCAGCTGTACTAGCATGTGCTCCTTCCAAAAGCTTTCAATTCCCATGGAGGTCTCACCAATATATATATATATATATCCAATCGACCTTTGATTTGACAGCTTTCTTACCACATCACCACCTTTACACACATCTCAACTACCACGCCAGAGAAACGCCTGCATTCTCCAGAGTCAGTCCCGGCTTGTTGGAAATGTTGCTGGTCTTGGCCTCAACGCAGCGCCGCAACGCGAGTTTCATGGTCATGGTCAACACTCTACCCAACTTGCAGACAAACAGTTCATCCTGCAAAGGTTTCGGTCGTTTTGGTCAAGACTTCCACTTCGAATAACACCTGGCTAACGGCCTGCTTCTTCCGGTGACTCAAAACTGAACAAAACCGTGTTATATATAGGTGAAGGATTCCCTCTTGGGAATTGTTTCAGCAGCCGGTGGGGACTCTGTTCCAAGCTTGTGAAACCTGCGAAGCTGAGCATGTCTTCGAAGCAGAGGAAACGCAACGAACGTTCCAGTTGCAGAGATCAGACCATCGCACTCCGATCAGACCTTCACACTGCTCTCCGATCAGGCCTTCAGTTTCAAGAACCCAAGAGTCCTCCGAATGGTCGAACTCCCTCTTTCCAGATCTACGGTTTCCTGACCATCTGGTTAGCTCTCGTCTCAAAATCAAAGGACCCGTTTCCATCGAAGTCTGTCGTTTCACCTTAAACCCTTGCAGGGTGGTCTGTTTTACACCCCTCCCGTCCAGTCTGAGACGGAACAGCTGGTGCAACCGCGTGACGAAGGTTGTGAGCATCTCAACGAGCCCGCAAAAGGCAAAGACCTGCCACAAACATTGGTGGAAAACACCGAAACAATCCGAAACACCCTGGACCGAGTAGTCTGGCCGCCCACCAACCCATGCAACCCGGCAGTTTGCAGTTTCGGATTCCGTTTCAAGGGCCCAGGCCACGATCCTACCTGGGTTCCAGAAAAAGACATGGATGGAAAGCCCAAGGCACAAAGAATTCACCTGGCCTGTCCATCAAAACAAAGCCAAGCAAAGCCTGTCAAAACACACATGAAAACACGATTTTATCGGGTGGAGTCGACGTTCATGGCGCATGAAGAAGGGTATGCCTCCAGTACCAACCATGGAACCTCTGGTTGACACCCACCGGTGCATCTTGGCCTGGAAGAGTGGGCCGACTTGATGTCCACTCGTTCCGTAGAAGTCCTCATCCGCGCCGAACTCGACGTCTGCATGCGTGAGTGAACGCAGGGTGATGGCAGGGCGATGCAGCAGGTGGCGGTTTGGTACATGTTTGGCCGACTACTTCCTCAAACGCACCTGCTTCTGTATAGATGTAGAGTACATGCGGTCAATGTCACTGTAGGCTATACCGTAGGCTACACTGTAGGATTTCTAGGCTGATCACACCCCACCTCTTCATTGGACCCGCCATC